ATATATGGCAATTCTGCAGTCTCTTTCATATTTCCTCGTATAAACCTCATGAAGAGTTACTGTATTTATCCATTTCACAAATTTCGACAATGACCGACACTAACATATCGTTCATCATCCCGGGACAATCTGGACATATTTTTCATCGCACCTTGTATATCCATCGTCAAGAATAAATATGAATTTCATACTTCTGGAACTGAAATCATAATTTTTTTAATCTTATAATTTACCTTAACGAAAATGCATCATTTCGATTAAAAATGCGTACTTTCATTATATGACCTTCGATCCAAGAAATTACAAAAGCATTTCGAGGTCAGACACCAGACATCCTCATGACGAAGTAACACTCCATTATTCCACTAGTAACACAGAGAAAATTATGTTTCATCTACTGAAGACTATGTTATTCTCCATTCCATCATTCAGTATTTCTTGTATCACTTTGTATAGACTTTTTCAGAATTTTCTGTGTTCGAACACGATCACATATCCGACGACTATACATACAACGTTGATTCTTTGGAGAAGAATTCTAACTTTCAATTTCATTCAATTAATCGTTAAAACAATGCATCCTTCTCAATGAATATTCATAACACGATTATCAATGCTCTGAATTTGAAAATTCCGAAAATGTTTCGAGAGAAAGCATCAATAAAGAGGATACAGGTGAGAGAAAAAATTTAAAAAATTATCTGTTCGAACGGTAAGGTGACGACCACGATGCAATTTTACACCCATTCAATTATCAACCTGTAGCAATGTTATCTGAAATTACAGAAGTTTCATATTGCCACAACAAACTGTCAAGAGATTAGGGTAATCATCGGTGGAAACCGATTTCAAATTGGTGGGGAAATTCGTGAGTTATTCTACTTTGAATTCAGGCTATATTTTGGAGCACGACGTTATCAATGTTGACCAGTTTAGTATTGTATTATATAATATTGTAGTGATATTTTTAGATGAATGTAGTGACTGGCGCCTATTTTACTAAACGTTTGATATTAACTACCGACTATTTTTTTCCCAGTGTTGAACTGTATAAAATAGTTTTGAGGTCTTTGACAACACAGAGTGATTGTTGAATGTGAAGAGTTCAATAGCAGTTCAGTAACTTCCTAGTTTTCAATGTGCATTGATTGAAAGGGGTCGGTTGTGTTAGAAGAGATGTCACAATATAGGTATCACCTAGTAAAATTATTACACGTTTTTCTATCTGGAACATCCTGTATGTATCAATAGTGATGTAGTCTTTCATAATATCAAGGTAAGAATAGGGATCTGTACCAATTTTTAGCAAATTGTCTGTATTCCAAATTAACAACCTGATATTAAAAGTACCAATAACTACACTCAATCACTCTATAGATATGTGGCGACACTGCACATATAGGTCCAGGGTCCAGAATGAACTGCAATACTGTGTTATCAGTCCAAAGCAAACAAATCACTGTGCCAATGAGAAAAGTTATGAATCATAGAAATAGGAATATGATATCATCATTATTTGTACATATGTCAATCATGAATGATGGCTTGCGGTGATTGAAAAACAGAAGGTATACAGTATTTGTATGTTCGATATGTATTGGAACTCAGTATTGTTTTTTTATATTGATCGGGGAAAAATGGATGAGAAATACAGCTGAAAATCTCTGTATCACCCTAAGCCATCATCCAGCCCCAATAACACATTGATGTAAAAACTTCAACTGATGTATGAATCCACATTTCAGTCAACTAAAAATTAAATATTACAGTTCCAGGTCATTATCGACTAAAGTACCTATTAACGACAGTAGAGTCATACCATTTTATGGTTGATGAATCTTGCTCCATGATAAAACTAAGAAACTCAATGATATTAAGATTCTTGAAATTCTAGTATGAGATTGAATTGATAGTTTTTGCACCGTACATGTCAATACTTCAACGAACAATGAAATTAGTACAAAGTTATTCTAACGATTGAGTTCAAATCTCATCCAGCAAATTACTTCATCTTCTTTTTCCTTTTTTGTTACAAAGCATGTGACCAGCAAATCAGAAGAGTATAGAAACATGCATTGCCTTTCAACAAAATGGTTCAAGTGTTTTTACTCTACGAAGATGGTTCAGAAATTTTTTCCTCAAGGAATTACTGCCCTTCAAAGATGAATTTATGAGAATGATTCTCAATCAATATTTCCGACACCACACAATGGACAGAATTTCATATTAGATCGGATGTCTTGATAATATTGAATGAGCGGTGTCGGAGATACTGAAATGAACATTTTTTGTGAGCCTGTGCAGTAACAATAACACATTGATCTTTCAAAGGAGTCCATACTCGAAGTGCAGTGTAATGACTAAGAAAAAAAACTCTTGGAGTAGTTTCCACAAAAATAGCGGGAAGACGAAGTAAAAATTCTGCCTCAAGAAATTCGTTCCGACTCTCACATGCTCAACACACAATGGCATACAAACAAATGCAATTCCATAGGTATGACTCTCGGTTTAGTTTTTGTTTTGATTGAAATGTTCGATTCAGACAGAACATCTGATATGTTAGCTATTTTCTCAGTTGTAGAAAATATTATCTGTTTTCTATACTCGTAAGAGAGCTAGAACATTACGATGAAATGAATGAATAACTACTTATTATCACGATTTTTTCATGAACTTAGTACTGACTTGTTTTATGGCACTTGGTCCTCAACTTCCACATCACATAGCATTTGATAGTACTGTTAGTTCTAGACATTTCAGACCCCTAAAAGATGTGTGATGTGAATCTTCGCTGTCTTTCAGGAACATTCTGGGGTCGAATTGTCTACAGTATTGCTGATTCTGTAAGAGAAAGAAAGAATAATGCATTTTCACGAAAAACATGTACTGAAGAAGTTGAAGAATATATCTCTTTCGATACCTTTATAAAGAAACGAAATAGATTAGAAAATTGGTTAAATCAAATAATGGTGAATAACACAAGTGAACGGCGTCCAACGTTGAACAATCAGATTCGGCAGAACCTCCTCAGCAAGACAATATAAATGAAAGATTTCTCTCTCAACGAAACGAGAAAACGATTTTCTCTCAAATACTCTACCTAGACCGTGGACTTACTCAGCTGGCGTTTCTGGCTCCAATACCGAATCCTTGGTAAGACAGATGTACCAAGCATCCCCAGTATAGTGCGTTGTGTAAATTATTGGTAGATTAGCAGATGAAAGGGTGACCAGGATTTTGCGTGGGTGTTGGTCTTCCAAGTTAATAAAAGTTCTCACTCAATTGTTTTCAAAATGAAACAGATTGGACCTCGACATTGGTCTATTTGCTCAAAACATTTACATGTGGCGCCCAACGTGGGGAAATTAGTTTCATAGCAGAACCCTCACAAGTGAGTGCGAGACAAATACCTGACTCCTGGAATCACTCTGGCAGCTAATACCGTATCTCCGGTATGGCAGACGTACTTACCATCTCCAGTGAAGTGTTGAGTTGAGTGAGACCTATCTGAACTTGTCTTCGAATTAAAACGGATTAGACCTCGATAAAAAAAAATCACATCTGGCGCCCAACGTGAAGAATCGGATTTGGCAGAATCTACACAAAATAGTACGAGTAGAAAACATCACTCTAACGACTTTCTCTGAAGTACTAACCCCGTACTCACCATTTTCAGAGATCCTCTCTGGATGCTATCACCTCTGGCACCCCTACCGGTGACCAGGTCCCTGATGCACGGGTATTGCTCTTTCAGTCCCTATACATATATTAATTTACAAAAATTCAAGATGTCATTGGACTTTGTCTCCAAAATGAAACTTAACAGTCCTCGACATTTGTGTGATTGCTCAGAACATGCACATCGGGCGCCCAACGTGGGAAAATCAGATTAATTGCTCAAAACATTCGCATCTGGCGCACAATGCGAGGCAATTGAATTCAGCGAAGCCTTCACAGTCAAGAGAACGAGAAAGAGACACGCTTTCATCTGGTGTACTGTACTCGGACCCTGGACTTACTCTGCAAGCTAGCATTACTGGGCACCAACACCGAATCAGTACGGTAAACGAACCAAGCAGTGCGTTGCGGTAATTAGTAAATGAGCAGCAGATAGAGTGAATAGGGTTCTACGCGGTTATTGCCTTCCAGTTCCTGCACATTACTTGACAAAAATTCCAGGTTCCACTGTTTTTTCCCAAAATGAAACCGTTCGGACCATTCGTGTGATTGCTCAGAACATTCACAGCTGGCGCCCAACGTGGGGCAATCAGATTTAGCATAACATTCACAGATAGTACGTGACGAAATCATAACTCTAACGAATTTCTCTGATGCACCGACCTGTGACTCACATTTCCTGAAGATCCTCTCTGGATGCTAACACCTCTGGCACCACAACCGTATCCTCAAAATGGCGCATTAAATGGGCAGCCGTTAGAGCGTACCCTATATTTTTTTTATCGATTGGAGCGCACGAAAGGGAATCCCTATTATGTTCAAGATCTCACTGGACTTTTTCTGCAAAATGAAACTCATCAGACCTCGACATATGTTTGATTGCTCAAAACAGGCACATCTGCGAGAACGGAAAGAGACCGCTTTCGAAAAGACGAAACGCAGAATTTATCTGGCGTACTGTACTTGAACCCTGGACCTACTCTGGAAGCTAGCACTCATGGGCACCAACACCAAATCAGTACAGTAAAGGAACCAAGCAGTGCGTTGCGTGAATTAGTAAATGAGCACCAGATACAGTGAATTGGGTTCTACGCGGTTATTGCCTGTCAGTTTCTGCACATTATTTGACGGAAATTCCAGGTTCCACTGATTTTTCCCAGAATGAAACCGATCGGACCATTCGTGTGATTGCTGATGTGAAAATTCACGGCTGGCGCCCAATGTGGGGTTATCAGATATAGCAGAACCTTCACAAAGGAGTACAATACCAAAACATTACTCAAACGAATTTTTCTGCTGCCCAGACCTGTGACTCACCATTCCTAAAGATCCTCTCTGGCTGCTAGCACATCTGGCACCAGCACCGAATCCTCGGTATCGCTGACGTACCCCGCATCGCCAGTGTAGTGCGTGGGGTAGAGCAGTAAAGGAGCAGCCGACAGGGCGACCAGGTCCCTGCGCGGGTAGTGGCCCTTCCAGTTTTCCTGCGGGTGCTTGTCGAACAGGATGGGCAGGTACTCGTCGACGGGCACCAGGCGAGTCAGAGGGTCGCCCTCGAGGAGTTTCTTGGCCCCCGAGAGGCTGAGGGCGTAGCCGAGGGTCCAGTAGGAGTAGCCGGCCTCGACGAGAAGGTCGGAGCCGGCGACGAAGGGCTCGTCGTGTTCTTGCAGGCGTTTGCGGCCGAAATATCTGGAAGAGAGAGGATCGTCATGGTCAGCCTTCCAGCAAGCGCGCTGTCGTAAAATTTACGACAAACGCGCCGAATAACTGCTCCCGCTTTCATTCATCAGTCGCAAGCATCGAATTCCAAGCTATTCAAGTTTGACTGTCACTTCGAACAACAGACATGTATCGGGTTTCCACCAAGGTGTTTGGCTTGTTTCATTATACTTTGATATTTGAGGAAGTACGTATATCAATCAATCACTTTTTTCTGATTTCTTATTCATTTTCACTTTAATATTGTAACATCCCTGTTCATACCTTTCCCAGGTAACACAGAACTCTCCGCAATATCTCTAAGTAGTTATCTTCAGGATCAAAATGCGAAATCCTCCTGCGAGGTGGCAAAGATCACTATAGGCTCTCACCATGGGAAATACTCTCTGGATTCGTCCGAAAGAAATCGCGGAGATCTCGCCTCAGATTTGATATATTCCTCATTATTGCGAAACCTTGAGGTTATCTATAACAGGAAATGAATAGGCATTCCTTTCTGCGAGCACCAAAGGATATCCTGGACGTAACAAGATCGAGAATTTCCCATTGCGAGCTCCTAAAGTAATCACAAACATAACCTGAGTAATTAACGAGGTAATTAATGAATATTCCTACAAAAATATTGAGTTGTTTTTTTTCAATAGCCTTCATAATTCAAATACTGGGTGTCCCAAGTTATCGTTTACAGGCAATATCTCGCCTATTTGTCAAGATATCAAAAGCATTAAAAAACTGCATTGAATGGCATTAAATAACCTTCCTAATGACTTATGAAGAATGTGATATATATTTGGCAGCCCCCGGATGGTAGATACTGATCAGTTTTTATTTTCTAGTAGCATATTGTCTCTGAAAATTGCGTGTCAATCTATTTGGAATACAACGATATAGCACATACTTGGTGTTTTGTTCTTGATAACAACAAAAACATGAACATTTTGTGACTTTTTTACGTTACTCAAATGACAAATTGCTTTCACCCATGTGTTCAAGAAGTTCACAAATAAGAAGTATGGATTGCATTTTTGTTTCAAAATATTAATGACAGATATTCCATTTTGAACTGCAGAACATCAATCATTGCAGACGGTACCTACCTAGTGTAATAATTAATCTAATTTCATTGTGGGACATTTTTACGAACATGGGAGGAGGCAATTTTCAATCGATGTAACGTAAATGAGGTCAAAAAATGTTATTGTTAATGTTGTTATTAATGAACAAAATACAAAGTACCGATGTGCTATCGTTCGATATACAGGGAGTCCATTCAATGAAAATTGAGGAGTTGCTACCAGGTGGCTGTCCAATCTAATACACTTTTTTTTGAGTCATAAAGAAAGTTCTCTGATGTCATTTGAAGCATTTTTACTATTTTTTGTTCATCTTGTCGAGTAAGCAAGTTTTTGCCGGAACCTTTACGATAACTTGGGACACCCAGTATTAACATGGAATGGGAGTCATTAATCTATGATAATAATAATTGTATACTAGATACTAGATTTTCCTACTGTCTCAGAGAATGTGTTCAACAGGTCATATTATTATCTCTCCGCCATTATGGAAGATTATTTCAAATTTTGCAGTGAATTAATGATAATTAATCATCTGCTCTGACGAAAAAGACAAAAATGTTCCAATTCAGGTGGGATCGAGAATCAAATATCTACCTCCAATTCGTGGGTAGATATCGGACGACCTTTTTTTTAAAGAATACCCGGCCAACTCCTCGGAGATTTTTTCAAGTGATAAAGTTTACTTGATCAATATCTTGCTATAGAATAATATAATATAATTGAAGCTCATTACGTTGATCTAACTCCAAGTTTGGTAACTCAATCTTTTTCGCTGAAACAAATATCCAGTAAATTTAACTCCACCCCAAACAATATAGCTGGCGCTAGTTAGACTTCGCCGACAGGAGACTGCTGATAACCAATGACTTCTCAAAAATTGAGCACCTTACCATATTAGTGGCGATCATGTGGCGATTGATGCAAATATCGCTCTTAAAGGCCTCGTTATAAGGTGATGTGCACGAGTGCACGGATTCTTGAACAATTCATAGTTGCGAGCACTTGAAGAGTTCGCTATTAGTAATTGATGCGAATTTCCCAAAGTTCTCTTCACAAGGCGATGCGTGCCAAAATCTCAAACAGCTCGTAGTCGCGAGCACTTAAAGACCTCGCCAGAAGCAATTGATGCGAATCTCCCAATGTCCTCGTCACAAAGCAATGTATGCGAATTTCTCAAACAGCTCATGATTGCGAGCACTTTCAGTTATCGCCAGTGGCGATGGAAGCGTATATCTCAAAGTGCGCGCCTGAGGGCATTGTATGAGAATTTCTGCGTGCGATATCTTCAAGACCTCGCTGAGCTCAGCCTAGGTGGCGGACATTTGGCCTAGATATAGCACTCTCGGCGATCTCTCAAAGAAGTTACAAAAGGCATCACAATTTCCTAAAAGGATTTCTTCAAGATATCTTTAGGACCTCTTTGTGCTGGATGGGTTCCCTAACATGTATGTGAAAAAAATACACCATTTACACAATTATCTTCAATTCACGAAATGTTATGTGTTCCAAAGGCATGTGAAACATTGTATTTTATGGAACGACACCTGTTGTGCTGATCACTTTCCTGAGCATAATGAATGAACCTGTGCGGTTATTTGCACTCAATTTCGCGATTCGATAATAAGATGGAAATTATGCAATCCGATACCAATTGAATGGTAGATATCAATAACCTATTTATGCCACCCCTCAATCTGAGCCAAATCTACAGCACAGCGATTTATTTGTCGCCATTATTTCGGACATACTTCCGTCATGTGGTAACAAAATGAAACAAAAAGCAAATGAATGGGGATAATGTCCCCTTTGCGAATATCCGAACGTGCCGAGACTCAAACTGATCCAAGTTAGTGGCAGAGCTTCAATATTTCCGAAAATATTTCCCCCTCTTGGAAGATAATATCCGGATAATGGATGTACCCTCCGAAGTGCATGGATAAGCATATCCATGTCTTTGTTCAACCAAACCTTCGAAGTCATTCTGAGAATTTAGAGTTATGCCTTCTGTCATTGCTTGTCATAGTGTCCGTACTCTTATTACTGCAAAGCTGTCAAATACATACAGGGACTCTAACTTGTGTAACTAACTACTTGAAAACCTTCCCTTGAAGTTTCAATTTGTAGAGGAATTATTAGACTACAATTTCGATATATATCATCAGAGACACCAGCAATGCATTTGACTTGCCTGATGGAAAGTTTATCATTCATCAAGGAATTTCGCTTGAATAAGCCAGCACCGTGAGTTTTTCCGATTATAGAATCAGGTTCACCTATTTCCCAAAAATTTCACGATCAGTTTCATTCGAATTTCGGTTGTTTTCTTATTTCGGGACATCATTGATTAGACTTGCAAAGTCTACTTCACCACAACAACAATGAATGAATAGTGAAGAATGAAATGGGTCTTAGAAAATTTCTAAATTAGTTGACAAGTTATTCTGTCAAACGAAAAAAATTTGAAGTTCACCTCATTTGACCCTAATAGAGTTGGAAATTGAAGACTGTTATCTTTTTGTATCAAAATTGGATTTTGATTACCAGTTCATTGAAAATGTCTCAAAATAAAGTTGAATATTTCGAAGATTGATAATGAAACATGCCGAATTGCATGCGCGTGCAAAGTAGGTCACTTTATGCATATAAACTTGCTTTCTTCAAATATCGAAACAGATCTACGAGATTTTGCTATACATAGAGAGTAGTGTTTTTGAAATAAAAATAGTTCTCTGTTTTTCCAGAAGACGGATTCCGAATCCGTTTACAACTCAGTTTGCATGGGTAAACTGAAAGAAATGTATATACAAAGTATGAATAGGTGATACGTTCAAAAGTTATGACCACATAAAATTTTTCCAAAATCAAGATAACGTCCTGTATCTCAGTTATAGAAGACGTTAGTCACATCAATAGAGGATGATTTCGAACCACCGAAGTTTTCTCTAACCACAATTTTCGTATGTATATTCAAATATAAAACTCCCTGTATATACAGGATAATCAATATTATAATCGGGAAATTTTCATAGGCGGTAAAACTCGTTTCTTGAGAGAAATAACTGATGATTCGAGTAAGTAACAAAATGTATCAAATAAAATTGAATCTCGAGTGTTTTTTGACAGGGTATGAATAATTATATACACATTATGTAAACAACAACAACAATAATAATGCATTTATTGACGATTTAGTGTTTCCTGTAGTTTTCGGAATAGATTCTTTTAATGATCTTTTTATTTAGTCGAAATTTTCTAAATAACTCATTTTGCCAACTTACATGTGAACAACATATACCCATCAATCACACTTGATACAACAGAAATTGAAGGGTACATACTAGATAAAGTATTATTATGAGGAAGAGGCATTTTCACAGCGACATTCCACTTTTGTTCTCGAGAACGAATCATAATCAACCATTTCCACAGTTTATTATCTTGCATTACATCGTATATCGAAGACTGGAACCTTTGGCACGATAATACACTACACTGTTTTACCACTAACCAAACCGATTTTTTAACGCCTCGACACGTGTTTCGCTAACTATGTTAGCATCTTCAGGAGAAGATTAAAACTAAATATCCTATTCTAGTGTGCTGCTTATTTTGTCATGGTTGAGTTCACATGTTAATCTAAATTTTTATGTTACTAAACTATATAGAGGGCTATATGGAATAGGTCCATTATCCTTATTCATTACTCTATTACTATTCTTAAATATCTCTAAGCTTTCATATGCGTCTAGTTTTCTAATGTTATTAACTTGCTTAACTAATTTGAGGTTAGTAATATGTGTGTTATGATTGTGATTGAACATATGTTCGGCTACACAAGATTTATCTAACCTGCCATATTTCAAATGAG